GAAAGCGCGATTCCTATCATCTTCTTGGTTGTCTTCGCCACTCTCCGTATGGACTTTCTATCTGATGCACTACTGCCAGCAAACCAAACAGGGATGCAGTTTGTCGAAATGCTCCCAATCGTGCCTCTGTAACAAGCGGCCAGGACAGAAGAAGAAAGAAGTGCTCTCTACGCTACAAATGATTCAAGTCATCACCCCAAATTTGTTTCCACCTCTTGTTCAGGGGGGAGAAATTATCTAAGGGAAGCAAATGCGAAAGACCATTAGCTGAGGCTCAGGAGTGGGGCTGTTTTTAGACAGAGCTATGGAGAATTAACTTCAGGACAATCTACCGCTTGCTGTTCCTGATTACACAGCTGGGAGATGTCAGCCCACAGCTAGTATCACCATAAAAAGAGTTTATTTTTCTGCCTCACCAGGCATTCTGATGGGAAGCATTGATCCTCCAGCTCTGAGGAATAAAACTGGCTTCAGATGTTTGGAAGGGACGGTGGGGTGGCGGGAAGAGAGGCTCTCTAACATTTAAACTAAAATAATTACATCTGTTTTAAATAAATAGCAAATAGCGCTTACCAAATAGCGCTTAGGCTTACAGAAAAGTCCCATGTTTCTTGGCCTGGTTTTTCAGGTGTGGTTTGCCATTGGCTCCTTCTTAGGGCTGAGAGAAAGTGACTGGCTCAATCTAAGGTGTCAGTCGGCGATTTTGGGTAGCCATGCTCTTTATGTTTCTGCAGTGCTCAATAAATAAATAAAATATGCAAGTTCTTCCTCCCTACATCAATAGCAATTGCCCTTAGACTTATCTACCGCTTCACAGTGCTTTTACAGCCCCTTCTAAGCAGTTTACAGAGTCAGCCTCTTGCCCCCAACAATCTGGGTCCTCATTTTGCCAACCTCAGAAGGATGGAAGGCTGAGTCAACCTGGAGCCGGTCAAGATTGAACTCCTGGCTGTGGGCAGAGCTAGCCTGCAATATGACATTCTAAGCACTGCGGAAGGAAAGGAAAGGAAAGAGGAAAGGGAAGGAAAGGAAAGGAAAGGAAAGGAAAGGAAAGGAAAGGAAAAGGAAAGGAAAGGAAAGGAAAGGAAAGGAAAGGAAAGGAAAGAAGGAAAGGAAAGAAGGAAAGGAGAGGAAAGGAAAAAGGAAAGGAAAGGAAAGAGGAAAGGAAAGAAGGAAAGGAAAGGAAAGAAGGAAAGGAAAGGAAAGGAAAAAAGGAAAGGAAAGGAAAGGAAATAGCCCTTAGACTTATATACCACTTCACAGTGCTTTACATTCTCCTCTAAGCAGTTTACAGAATCAGTCTATTGCCCGCAACAATCTGGCTCCTCATTTTACCCACCTCGGAAGGATGGAAAGCTGAGTCAACCTTGAGCCGGTCAGGATCAAACTCCTGGCTGTGACCAGTGAGTTAGCCTGCAATACTGCTTTCTAACCACGGCGCCAACATTTAATTGCAGTCTTCTCCTGGGTTCTGCGGAACCACATTCCCCCAGCAGTCCCAGCCAATATTACTAATATTGAGGAAAGCCAGGAGATGTAGGTTAGCAGCATTGTAGACCCCATTCACACCTGGGCCTCTTTCAGCCAACAGGGCTTTCTCTCCGCCTTCAATATTAGAAGGAAAGTGGGTGACAATCAGAGAACTGCCTTTTTCAGTTACTATTAACTGCCCTTCTGCGAGAGAATCGCTGAGCAACAATTTTCCTTACTGGTTAATGAGTGTTATTATTTATAACACTGTTATTGATATTAGTTTTGCTTGTTAGTGAACGCATGTTTGACTAAACTAGGCTACTTAATGAGTGTTGCTTTAGATCATCTGTCCGATTAATCTGCCCGCTAGCTTAGTTGTGTAGTTCACATTCAGCACAGGTCCACGACCGCAATTGAGCCCAGAATTTTTGTTGCTAAGTGAAATATTTGTTAAGTGATCTCTGCCCGATTTTTATGACCTTCCTTGCCACCGTTGCTAAGTGAATCCCTGTGGTTGTTAAATTAGAAACCCGGTTGTTAAGTGAACCTGGTTTTCCCATTGACTCTGCCTGTCCGAAGGTCGCAAAATGAAACCATCATAAATATGAGTCAGTTGCCAAGCATTTCAGTTTTGATCATGTGACCACAGGGACGCTGCAACAGTCAGTCGTAAGTGTGAAAAACGGACATAAGTCACTTTTTTCAGTGCCGTCGTAACTTCCAACGGTCACTAACTGAACTGTTGTAAGACGAGGACTAACTGTATTTCATAAGCTGCTTCTGCACCATATTTGAACAAGGATAAGTATCTTCTGGTTTCCTCATGAGTGCAAAAGTGACTTACACATCTGATTTATGGTACTGTACAAAATAGGACGGTACAGAAATTCCAGTGTAATGATAAATGTGCTTTTTCTTCTGCTTTGGTCTAAACAATGTTTATAGTTTAAAACTTCAAATTTACCAGTTGCTTTTTTAAAAAATGCTTTATTTTCAAAGATACTCAGTTTTTGCAGTAAGTTATTAAGGAATCAACTGCTTAATCACAGCATGTTTCACCCTTACTTGGCACCAAGATGAAGTGGTTTTAAGAACAAGTGTTTTTTGAAGATATTAAGGGCAAGGAAGACAAAGAACGAACACAGCGTTAAAATATTTTGTTTTCCCGTGGTCAGTACGTTTACTTGCTCAGGAAACCCGAATTAATACATATTATTAATACTTTTTCATGTTTGCATTTAGAAAGAAACAAAACTTCCCTGCAGACAAGATCTGAAGCTCCATAGCTTTAATGAGCCAGAAGCAAAAAAAAATCCTTTAGAAAGGTTTTCTTTTTTTTTCCAAATAATTTTTAGCAGGCATGTTAATTCCCCCCCCCCCCAAATCCCCCCCCCCCCTTGGTGTCTTTGACACCAAGTCACTCAGCTGATTATGAAACACGAGAGCATCTTCGTTGCACAAAGAGGCATAAGAAATATATGTTTTTCCAAGCCAGAATGGTGTGAGGCAGACGTCCATAATTCCTTATCCCTGAGCCTTTATAGCTTCATTTGCCTTGGCAAAACGAGAGAGTAAGCAGCCACAGTCTTTAAATTGGAGGGTGTTTGCCTAAGAAACACTGTTCACAGTGCTAACAACCATGGATCTTCTCTCTTGTTTACCCACAGTGCTGAGTGGCCTTTGCTCAAATGACTGTCCTCGCAAGATAACAGTAAGTATGCTGTTAAAATCCATTCCTGGGGAATTGTGGCATCTCCAATCCATACCATCACTCTGTTTGTCAAAAGATAGCCATGTCCTGGTCGCTTACCATTTCATCATGACAAGGGCAACCAAAGCCACACTTTCTTGAATGGGAGAAATTTAACTTTTAATTCAGTTCTCTGTCGTGACCCCATGCTGGAAAATACCATTCCTTCAGGCACTTTGAAATCTCAGCTCTTGTTCACTGTTTTCATGATGTTCTCTTTTACTCCTTGTACTGTACTGTAAGCTATTTTTAACAACTCCTCCCACCAGAGGTGGTATTCAGCAGGTTCTGACCAGTCCTGGAGAACCGGTAGCGGAAATTTGAGTAGTGCGTAGAACTGGCAAATCCCACTGCCGACTGGCCCCGCCCCCATCTAGCCTCCGCCTCCTGAGTCCCAGCTGATTGGCTGGGTCTCCTTTTGTTGCCCTGCACAGGAGAACGGAGCTGGAAAGCAGGTTAGTGAGATGGGGAGGGAATGGGGATTTTGCAGTATCCTTCCCCTGCCACGCCCACCAAGCCACACCCACCAAGCCATGCTCACAGAACCGGTAGTTTAAAAAAAAATTGAATCCCACCACTGCCCCCCACCCATGTTTTTTAAAGCAAATGGATGATTAATGTTTATTATAGAGCATTGTCTAGTTTAGACCATGGATGTGCATGGAATTTTCCTTAATAACCCAGCACACAGAATAACAGAATTGGAAGGGACCTTGGAGGTCTTCTAGTCCAACCCCCTGCTCGAGCAGGAAATCCTATACCATTCCAGATAAGTGGCTGTCCAGTTTCTTTTTTACATCCTCCAGTGATGCAGCACCCACAACTTCTGGAGGCAAGCTGTTCCACTGACTAATTGTTCTGTCAGGAAATTTCTCCTTAGTTCTAAGGTGCTTCTCTCCTGGATTAGTTTCCATCCATCACTTCTTCTCCTGCCTTTAGCTACATTGGAGAAGATCCCATCTTCTTGGTGGCAGCCCCTTACAGCTTAAATATATTCATTGGATTAAAAGTAACATTGGCTGTTCAGTTTGCCATTTATACTGTATTATATAAATTTTTTCTGCCTCTCATCAACCAGCGGACAAGGTTATGATGTATCTTCCAAATAAACATTTGAAAACAGTGAAGTCATTTTGAAAGGCCGTGTAAGTAAAACTCAAACTTCTGACAGCTACTTCGGGGAAGTTTTGATCCCTGAGGCGTGCTGTTGTTGAAATGGTTGCTTCTCATTTGGGCCTTTTTTGTTGTTGTTTTTGGTCACTTTCAACCACTTTCCTTATTCTTTACTTTCCCTTCCCAAAGGTGCCTTTTCCCACCATCTTGAGAAATGCAAAGGACGTTCTGCTTTCCCTGCGTTTTGTCCTTCCGATTTGTATTTATCATTGCGTTAAATTCCCAAGGAAACACCTTTATGGCTCGTAGATATTTTTGACTTCAAAAAAACCAAAAAAAACTCTGTATATATGGAGGCTCTGCTGGGGCCGAGTATTAATAGTGCTGTAGATTTTTCTTTAGCTTGCAAAGCATCGTTCTCTTTTGGGCTGAACACTTTACTCTTCTTTTAAAACGGCCTCAGAGTTGTATCGATATTCAGAACTTCTAAGGGAGGTGCCTTGGTCACATATAAGCTTTAAACTCACAACTGGAGAAATTCAGTTTGGTCTTTTAGGAAGCAGCGTGTGTTGCATCTTTCTTACTATTTTTTTACATTGAACATCAAATGAGCTGTGGCATCTTAAATTACCATGTCCTTGTCCAAGGGCTTAAAGTTTTTAAAAAATGTTGTGTCTTTTACAAGGCATGGTGTTTCTAAATGGAAGGAAATGGAGACAGGAAGCAAATCATATCAGAAGGATCTAGAGAGGTGTTTAATGGATGCCGCCAGACCGTGTCTATTAGCTAGAAGGTATTTCACTAATGAGGACAGCTCAGTAAAATATGTGAGCAATAGGTATGTAAATCCTGGCCTTAGAAATAAGATTGGTGATGTACAGAAAACACATGGAGAAATAAAAAGGCAAGCAAATGGAGTAGAACAAAATGGAGTAGAACAAGGGAAGTGGATACACACAGTGGGTGTGTAAAGCAGACTTGAGCTGTACATGATCAGAAGCAGCTTAGACAACAAATGGAGCAGAGCTGAAGAAAGCGGAAATCTTACAGCTTGCCTCAGAACTTAATATTTGCTTGTTGGTATTATTAGTTATATATTTGTAGGCGTAGAGCAGGCAGAGCTGAGGGCGGAGTTGAACATGTCATCAGCTCAGAGTCCTTACATTGCCACAAACAATCCCCCTTGAATTCCATCGATCTTTACCTAGCACCCATTAAGGGCTGACCATTAGTTGACTAAGTAGACTTGAAATAATAAACCTCGTGTGCTCTCGATCCTTTGCGACCGACATTATCCTGCCTTTTCTCCAGCAGCTCAAGGGTGGGACATGGGGCTGCGGTGGTTAGGCCAGCTCTAGTTCCATTTTATTGCCTGTGCTGTCCAGACAGTATATAGGTAACTGGGAATTGAGATAGTTAAGTTAGAATTGGAAGCTGTCCCCTTAAGGGAATGCCTCACGGTAAATGTAGTTAATGCATCATGGGAAATGTAGTTCACGTCATGTGGTCACATCTGTCATCCTGATTGGTCACTGAATTGACCCTTGCTTGGTTGGGGGAGTTTCCTTTACTCTTGCTCGGATGCCAGCATCGTGCTGGTGTTTCACCCTCTGCTCCGTCGTTATGGGATGAAAGAGCACTATAATTTTACACTATGAAGCAAATGAACGTCCCAAAGTCATAGCTGAGTGTGACTTGAATTGGTCGAGCCCCAGAAACAGGAATGCATCCAGTATAGAAACTTGGGTAAAAACTCAAGAGGAGGTCATGAGTAGCACCTTCCCACTCACATTTCTGGCAACTCTTTTTTCAGAGGCGTGTGAAACAGCCATGTAGCCATTTACAGTGTTGACTCCCGAAATCTCTCTTTAAAACTGACCGGCTGGGTGACCTCAGTACCAACTTCAGTATATTGGTTTATGTCAGGGGTGTCCAACCTTGGCAACTTTAAGACTTGTGGACTTCAATTCCCAGAATTCCTCAGCCAGCAAAGCTGGCTGAGGAATTCTGGGAGTTGAAGTCCACAAGTCTTAAAGTTGCCAAGGTGGCCCTCCCCTGGCTTTATGTCTTTATGAAAGTACAGTTAGTCCTCAACTTAACAATCAAAACTGACCCACCAATTTCCGTGCCTAAGCGAGACAGTTGCTAAGTGAGCTTTTGCCCCATTTTACGTCCTTTCTTTCCAAAGCTGTTAAGTGAACCACTGAGGTTATTAAATCAGTAATAAATGGTGTGGAGACCATAACTTAACACCAATAAGACCAAGGAGCTTATAGTGGACTATAGAAGGAACAAATCGGACATCCAGCCCTTGCTTATCCATGGGGACTGAGTGGAGCAAGTGGCCAGTTTTAAGTTTCTGGGTGTTACCCTAAAAGAGGACCTGACCTGGGGGGCTCACATTGCAGCCCTGGTCAAAAGGACCAGCAGGGATTATACGACCTGAGACTTCTCAGGAAACAACAACTGAATGAAAAACTGCTGGTGGCCTTCTACCGCTGCACCATAGAGAGTATCTTAACTTACTGCACCTCTGTATGGTTTGCCAATTGCACAGGGGCAGATAGGACAGCACTCCAGAGGGTTAGCATCATTGCCCAGAAGATCATGGGTTGCCCTCTCCCCTCTTTGGAAGAGCTTCATAGCTCCTGCTGCCTTAAGAAAGTTCAAAACATCCCCAAAGATCCATCTCAACCTAGGCACCCTTTTTTGGAACTATTACCATCTGGCAGACGGTACAGGATAATAAAAACAAGGACAAATAGGCTGAAAAACAGCTTCTAGCCCAGGGCAGTAGCTCCATTGAATTCTACTGTATAGTGCAATATTAATGCAATATCAGGGGTTTTCAATTCAGTTGCATAGAAATGTGAATTGATGTGTGTTTTTGTTTATTTCCATAGTCATAATCTACACTGAAGATGGTATTTAATTTTGTTGTACGAGGTGCAATGACAATAAACTAAACTAAACAGTAAGCTGGTTGTTAAGTGAATCTGGCTTCCCCATTGACTTTGCTTGTCAGAGAGTCACTAAACGTGACTCTGGGGGACACTGCAGCCATCATAAATGCATGCCAGTTGCCAAGTGTTTTGAATTTTGACGATGCGACCATGGGGATGCTTCAATGGTCATTAAGTGTGAAAAATGGTCCTAAGTCACTTTTTTTTCCCCCAGGGTCGTTGCAGCTTCAAATGATCCCTAAATGGTTGTAAGTCAAGGTTTGCTTGTGTTCTCTTTGTTTCTCCTAAGTCTCCCACTCATTGGTTGCTGCTTTTCTTTCCCCGGTCCTAAAAGAGAGAAAGAAACACAAAGCAATTAAAAAAAGAAAACCTATCAAACTGCCATACAATCACTGTAACTTCAGCTTGCCTGAATCCTTTCCCTGGCATCTCCTCGTACTATCAAACTGTCAGCTTGCAGTCAATCATATTTTAGACTTGCATTAGCTGATGAGAAGGAATATTTCCGCTGGAAGCATTTGCAGTTTTCGGCATCGCTGCCCTGGAAAAGATTGTCCCCAAGATGCTTTTTTTTCAAGAGGCAACTGGACTTTCTGTGGTTTTTTTTCTTTTTTTGGAAATGTTTTGGTTCTCATCCAAGAAGCTTCTTCAACTCTTGACTGGAGGGTGGGGCATGGAAGGATTTATATTCCTTGCAGACAGCTGGTCATTTGCATCCTTTTAGAGGGTCGTTGAAGAACTTGGAGGTTTATCTGTGTCCTCAGGGTCACCTGAATAGTGCAAATGGATGTGGAGCATTCTTGCAAATGACCAGCTGTCTGCAAGGAGTATAAATCCTTCCATTCCCCACCACCCAGTCCGAACTGAAGAAGCTCCTTGGATGAGAAGGGAAACGTCTTCAAAGAAAAAAACAAGAATGTCCAGTTGCCTCCTGAAAAAGCACCTTCGGGACAACCATGACCTGGAGGACTGAGAATCATTACAGATATTTCTGAAGATTCCTTGTCCCCAGGCCAGAGGGTGACTTTAAACGCTACTGTGTGTTCACATCAACCTTGAAGCTTCGCAGCTAGGTTAAAGCTAAGTTATAGATGGAAAAAGGCTATTTATTTTTTGTATGTTATATAGCAGTGGTGACTAAACTTTTTGGGCTCCTGTCCCGAAAATTGTGCGCGCGCTTGTGGCGCTCGCATGCCAGCACCCAGAAGACAAAGTGCCCACCCCCCTACGCCCCCTGCGCTTGCACGCGTGATTCCTCCATGCCACTGCCCCCTTACCTGCACTGCACACCTCCCAGCTGATTTTCAGCCCGTTTGAGGTCTTTTTTGGCCTCCCACAGAACTCGAGGGAAGCCTCTGCAGCCTTTGGAGGCCGAAAAATGGGCCCGTTTCATCATTTCCGGTATTTCCGGAAATACAGGAAGTGACGAAACGGGCCTGTTTTCCGGCCTCCAAAGGCTGCAGGGGCTTCCCTCGAGTTCTGTGGGTGTGGCATGGCTTGGTGGACGTGGCAGGGAAAGGATGTTGCAAAATCCCCATTCCCTCCCCACCTCACTAACCTGCTTTCCAGCTCCGTTCTCCTGTGTAGCGCAATGAAAGGAGACCCATCAGCTGGGACTCAATGGGAGGCAGAGAATAGATGGGGTTGGCAGGACCAGTCAGAGGTGGGGTTTGCCGGTTCTCCGAACGACTCAAAATTTCTGCGACCGGTTCTCCGGAACTGGTCAGAACCTGCTGAATACTACCTCTGGTTGAGACTGACTGTAGTTCATTTCAGATGGGTAGAAATAGCTATCTGTTTATTTAATCTGTTTATTTTTCAAATCATAGAAAAACACTGCGAACAAAGGAAGGAATTTGTTGGAGGAGAATGGTTTCTTGTGCCAATTTTTAGGACCAGAAAGGGAAATAATGCAATGTCCCTTTCCTTTCAGCCTTTTGGTGTGAATCAACCTGGACCTTATATTAAGTATACAACTGTCGATGCCAATGGATACTTGAAAAATGGGTCAGGTAAGACTACTTCCTATTGATTATGGCATTGGTTTTTCAACGCACCGATCCATATATCAGATTCTGTATAACACAAATGCAGATTTGCCTCTTTTAGAGGTGACTCCCCATTAACGTTAGACTTCAGGGTTCCGTGTTGTTAAGAGCTAAAAAACAAGGATAGGTCCTGAATATTCCTAGCCAGGTAATAATAATAATCTCCAAGAGTTGTGGGAAACGAAATGCATTTATTTTAAAAAGAAAAACAACAGGTAAAGGCTTTTCTTAGGAAGGAAGGAAGGAAGGAAGGAAGGAAGGAAGGAAGGAAGGAAGGAAGGAAAGAAGGAAGGAAGGAAGGAAGGAAGGAAGGAAGGAAAGAAAGAAAGAAAGAAAGAAAGAAAGAAAGAAAGAAAGAAAGAAGATCATTGTTGTTGACTTCTTGTTAAGGGCAGGGAGCACAGAATTAATGCAGCTTTAAATAAATGCATTGTGACCTTTCTTGGGTCTTTCTTAATTGCACTCATTGGATCTCTTTATGCAGCCATATATTTTTCCCCCTACTGCTAATGAATAATAATAGAGTCAGCACTTTCCCAGGCTTGCATATTTTAATATATATATTTTTGGGGGGGGGGGGTTGGGGAGCTAGCGCCATAATCATATACGGTGTTGTGGAACAGCTGGCTGCAGGTACCCATATAATTAAGGAGATTATAATAAGCATTTCATATACAGAGAGACCATGTTTAACTACTCCAATCTGGTAACAGGCTGGATCTCAGCAGGAGCACTGTCAGTCTGGGTGGTTTTATAATCATCTGGGCTTTTAATAAATTAAAACATTTTTAGCACACAGATGGTAAGAAAAACCTGTCCCTCGATAGAAGGACAGCAAGAAATATAAATCCTAATGAAAGCTGAATCTCTGGAGCATTCAGTTCCCTGGAAAATGAGCTCACCTGAATTTCCAGGGATTTGACATACATAGGCTAACCCAGGCCTATGGCCAGCAGCACAGTCAATAAGGGGAAAGTTTAAATATCCCAGGATTGGTTTGTTTTTTTTATTCAATCTAGACATTTGCTCTTTGGGTGCAAAAAGGAAAGATCTTCCCGAGAGGTTCTCCTAATTGGCTGATCTTTGATTGTAACAAATTAAAGTTGAAGCATAAGTAATTTCTACTTGCTGACATCAATCCCGAAATAGCACGCAGGTTTGCCAGGTTTTGTGTGGTGGCACCTGAACCAGGCAAGAATAATTAAGAGCAATTGAACCTGCCTGATATGGATCGCCAAAAATGGCCAAGGCTCAGCATTAACCATGTCAGCAATTATAGGACATTTCTCTTGTCAGAGAAGTTTATAATTCTTAAATCCTTTTTGGATAATGTTATTGTTTTATTTATGAATGTACATGCATGAATATGTGAGAGGTAATGGGGGGGGAGGTGGGGGGGAGAGAGAGATACACATAACATAATACGTAATATATTTATTCAATTTCAGTAGCCACCCATCTCAGTCAATGACTCTAGTGGGTTTACAATTCAAAAAATAAATTACAAATAAAATACTAGAAACATTGCAAAAGGATTTAAAAGATTAAAAAAACTAGAACTGTCCATATTTAAATATAGCACCAGATACTTGGACAGTTGGCACTTCTATAGTATTTGTATTTTATGCTGCAGTTTCAAGTTATATGGTATTATCCAGCTTGTTAATTTTATTTTTTTTCTTGTTACATATGCGCAGCCTAAGCAAGCCCATTAACATATTCTAATGCAGTAATGTCTTGTAGCCAATATTTTGTTTTTGCTTTTTTCTGTACATGTACTTTTTAAAACTGTCCTGACATTGTCAATTTAGTTTTGGATATTTTGAATATTAGAATGCCAATTCTCTCAAGCCAGTTAATGACCACAATAAAGTTAAGCAAGTAAGTAAA